TATTTGCTAACCATTCTCAGACGCCCGCGGCGACAACAACCGCCAGTCACTCAGAAGACGCATCTTCTCGCATCTGTAAGCTGAAATCTCCAATCTTTTGTGAGAGGCTGCTAATGGTTTTTTATGGAGATGTGTGCAAGTGATTCATGGGTGGCTGTGAAACTGTCACCACATCTGTCACATAAGCACTAGGTGCTAAACGCACCCTAAAACGACTGGGCTCTAATCGCTTTGTCGTCATCTTCCGAAAAAAGAGTCCCATAATTAGCCATTCATATCAGCAAAAGTGGACAAGGGCAATGGGCCAGAAATTCTTTAATTAAAATCAAGTTGCGATAAGATAGCGTCTCGAATCCGTAGAAGAAGAACAATATTTGAAAAAGTCAAACAAGAAAATTAAAATGTGTCTTAAGTTGTTGAGATAATGGCAGTGCGGTATAAAGAACCGAATGAAAATCAATTATAGGTGTCCCTCGTTGAAGTCCGAATGGCTCAACATTGAAATGGATTCGTTATTTTTCATAAATCGCCGATCACGATCCCGATCCCCAGATAGTGAAAGTTCTTCCTGCTCTTGGGTTTCACTTTTCCAAATGTTTTATCACTTGCGTAAAATCTCAGTTTGAGCACTCCAAGTGAACCGGCGAATGTCGTCAGCCTTTGTTTAATTTATTACGTAGCCTTTAGCTTTTAGTCACTTTTATAATAAACAGCGAAATTATCAACGTTGCTGTGTTTGCCTACTGTCTGCCAGGGAATTTATTATTGTTATAAGTTGATATTTTCATTATTTTAGCCAGCTTTAAATGGCTTGTGATGCATCACTTGAGCAATGTGAAGGCCTTATGTAATAGGTATAACTGAAACGCCAACCTTTTCTACTTGCTTAGCTATTTACGGCTTGGCTAATTGAGATTTAAGGGGATTTTGGGCGTTCATAACAGCTTCATTTAAATGTTTTATAGCGTATTACCCCCAGAGGGTGGACATTCGAATTACGCCTTAAAACTTATTTGTAGAGCAGTAAATTTATCAGTATCTGTCGTTTCCTGAATTTTTTGAAGATAATTTCAAGCCATCGGAAGGAAATCGCCGACGAGTGACGCGACCAACCCTATAATATCTGATTACAAATCCGTTCCCATGAATTGATATCTTAAAATGCCCACTCCCCGCAATTCCAGCCATCTCGTATGACTCATTTACTTAGCACTCGCTATGTGAATTTCTCACCCAAGTACAGATGAATTTGCATTTCATTTTTATTGTGATAATCCCAAAATAAACCCCCTGAATGATGGTAAATTTATTTTATCTCATATATTGTCGGTTGTTTTCCTTTCTACTTCCTAGCTTATCGGATCCTGAGTTTGCATACTTACCCAAGATATAATTAAATTCGATTCGAATGTGCGAAAATTAAACAATACACCGAATTTAATTAGAATTCACTTGGAAGAATGCCGACCAGACCGAAAGTTCCCGTTCAGAAAATTTCCGAAATGTTCTATAGTTTTGGGGATTAGTTTATAACGGATATTGGGGAGGCGGGGAGGGAATGGGGCTGGGATCCCTAACCGAATCGAAATCAACTACCTGTAAGTGCCTAACGGCTAATTTGCTTTAATGATGAGAAACCGCTTAAGTAAACAAACAGCCAACAACAATGGAGGCTGTCTGTTGTCCCCATGCGGGTTGTCAGGGGTGTGGAAAAGGGGGGCTTTGGCCAACGGGCGATTCCCCAGCATTGTGAATGATAAAACCTGCGAGTATATGTGTGTACTTCATGCTTGATTGCAAATTCAATTAAAGTTTGCGCAGTTCTCTAAGCTAGAGAACTGGAGAATAGACAGAGAAACTGAAGTGACGGGGAAGGGGGCTTCCACTGACAACGGGAAATCGCTTAGCAGAGCAAAAAACCGATTTATGAACTTACGAAAGTTTACAAATTACTCAGTCTGTCAAGGTCTTCCATTATTAAATTATAAAAAGCGGATCGATTTGATATTTGTAAACAAATTTTACAATCAGGTGTAGTACTAAAAAAAATATACTTAAGCCTGTTAAAATAAATATTGCCACCCAAAGAAAAAAAATAATATAACCCTTCTCACTTATTCGAGAAGAAACTTTCTTGAAATCAAGGTTGTTTACTTTGAGCGCGGCTAACAGACAAAAAGATAATAATTTAGGAAAGATTTATAACTTTTTAGTATCTATGGATTGCTAAAACACTATTTTGTTCCTCCCCATTTTTCTACGTGATCAATGGAAAAAAATTGTTTTCATGATTAGTACAAATTTCCAACGGCAAAGAACCCCCTGATTAGATTCTATTATTTTATAGCACCCATCTTCAATTACATTTAATTGAAATTTGTATAATAATTGGGTAGCTCATAATCCACAAACAAAATAACATATGTTTCGTTTAATTTCCGTCTATCAATTTAACGATTTCTTTGTTTGTTGCCTGTCTATGATGTTTTGTGACGTTTTTTCAACTGTCAGTTCCGCTTCCTAATATAAATATTAATCGACGGGCTGAGAGCCACAAACCTACATTCATGCGAGTACAGACAATTATTATTATTTTTATTATTATTTCGATCTCATCCCATGCAACCCCATCCCAGAACCCCCTTGCCTCCCCCGAAAGCCCACAAATTGTCTCATTGTTGGTTCTGAATTGAATTTTTTTGCGCCTCATTGTTTACCTTTGTATTGAATTAAAAATCGCTTACAATGGAAGCTGGCAACTGGCAATTGGCGGTGGGAAAGTCAAGGTCATCCCCCCGCCCACAGCCCAAAACACGAGCTCATCTTGTTCCAATAAATTAGGCCCCAAAGGGGCGGTGGGGGGTGATTGTCCAGCGCTAATGCCAACACTCATAAATCTTACGGCCAACAGCGATGATTCAACTTTCAACCGACAAAAAATCGAAAACAAACCTTTAAAAAACGAAAAACATATTTAAGTATACAAACAAGAGGCAAACGAAATTCAAGTCGAGGCGGAACTCAAATACTTTTGTAATTTGCAATGCCTGAGACTGCGACTGGAGTTTTTTATTTAATTATCCAAAGTTCAGGGCTTTACGGAGTGGGCTGCTGCATTCATTTACTGAAATTACGGGAAATTAATACCGGAGCGATGATTTCAATTGTTAGTACTGCGATGACGAAAAACGATGTGTGTCTCATCACTAATTAGCAAATTAGCAAATCGAGCGCAACAAGTCGTCAGGAATTTCTCAAAACTTTCTTTTGGTAACAAAAAAACAAAAGGGATAAGTTTTGGTTCATTTTTTTCGTAAAAACAAGGAGTCCGATCTTTATAATATTATCCTCAATATATTAAAGATGAAGACCTTGTTTCTAGAAAAATTACATGAAAGTTTATTAGTATTTTTAATTAGTATGCCAATATTTTTTGAAAATAATATTAATATCTTCCAATCAAGCAAATATAAAACCTAGGATCCGCACAAACCTCTTAAACTTGGACTAAAATAATGTTCTTATTGTATGAAAACAATATTTTAATTTAAATAGCGTAGACTTCAACCAACAAATGTACTTTTCTCCATATTTTTAATCTTATTCACAAGAGGTTTTTAAATTAATAAGGTAAGAAATGGAAGAATGATTTTTGTAAACAAATATGTAATTTGCATATGTGTGGTATGAGTATTTTTATAGAAACGTTGAGATGATTGCTCAGTGACTAGTTCTTAAAATAAAATTGATTGTCTTTTGAACATATTTATTGCACAACGAAACCTACCATAATAAAGGAGAAAGAAAAATGTTTTATTTTATAGACCCCAATGTACATTTTTATTCATTGAACCTCTCCGTGAGTTTTAAACCATTTCCGAACTAGAGTTATTTACGCTTGTTGTTAACAATATATGGGCTGTATTTAGAAAAATGTTTTTGCTAATGCCCTGTTGCCAAGTTTTCAGGAAAATCACGTTCCTTTTCGGTAAATGTGTGTGGGTGCGATAAGCGGGGCGTACTAAATCAATTTTGACCTATGAGCACATGCATGTGGAATTTCTATTTGCCCGTTTGCCAGTTTCCAGAGCCAAAGTGGAACAGCGACGAAAACAAAACCCGAACTTAAGCACGGCCATAAATGCTATTTTGTGAGCAATTACGCTTATGGCAAGTACTCGCCAGATATGCCCATCGAAACTATCGCCGGGCCAATTGACCAAAAGTAGAGCCCAAAACCACGTACTTCGGATCGGCGGTCTGGACCTCTTGGCCATGGTCGAAATTTAGGGTCAGTTAATGTGGGCCAGCATATTGTCAATGTCGGTCGTAAAGGGAGTACGAGTTCGCGATAAGGTGGCCAAAAAACTGAATGAACGAGAGGTATCGTTATCTTTCGGTAGTCGCTGTTCGCCAGAAATACACATTTATATGTGTATCTACTGGACTTGGTTGATTGCTACCCCCAAACAACAACAAAAAACGAAAACTTAATGACGAACTAAGCACGATAGAGTGACAATTCCATTCTCCAGACTCATGTATCCGCTTGCCAAAGAACAATAGCTCATTATGAAATCTTGCCTTTATCAGCAAATGTTTCTGCGGCAAATGAGTTCTTTTAGGCTGATTAGAGAAGCGAATTGAATTGATTTTTGTAGAGTCTTTTGTGCTTCAAATTAAACTTTGAAAGTAGAGAATAAAGGGATCTAAATAAAAAGCATTTTATTCATTACTCAGCTTTCAAGGTATACGTTACAACATTGAATACTACGCTTTAAAATAAAGTTCGTATTTCCTCTTTAATACACCCAGTTCGTACTTCACTACACGTGGACAACTGAAGAAATCAACTTCTCACTTACTCGAGAAGAAAAGTTCTTGAAATCAAGACGAAAGTACTCTCAATCTTGGCTAAATTCTAATGTATAGCTCTATAAAAAATATCTATTAAATAATAATGTTTATTATACTTATGCACATACTCATTATCTTTCCAGAAACCAAGATGTCCACGCCCACTTCCCCGAAGACGCCCACACCGCCCACTTTGCCGCCGGGCGTGACCAAAACATGTCACATAGTAAAAAGGCCCGATTTCGATGGCTACGGCTTCAACTTGCACTCGGAGAAGGTGAAGCCTGGCCAATTTATTGGCAAGGTGGATGCTGATTCCCCGGCAGAGGCGGCTGGCCTGAAGGAGGGCGATCGCATCCTGGAGGTCAACGGGGTGTCCATTGGCAGCGAGACCCACAAGCAGGTGGTGGCCAGGATCAAGGCCATTGCCAATGAAGTGCGTTTGCTCCTCATCGACGTGGATGGCAAGGCCATAGAGGTAAAGCCCTCGACTCCGCCAGCAGCAGCCTGCAATGGAAATGGAAACGGAAGTGCCAGCCAGAATGGATACGAGGGCACCAAGCAGGAGATGCCCGGAGCCAGTGCCAATATCAGCAGCATCAGCATGGTGAGCACCAAACGATCTTCAAACGCCAGCAGCATTCAGAGTGGCAGCACCATGAATGCCTCCGATTTGGACGTGGTCGATAGGGGACTCCCGGCAGCCCCAGCCGCAGTAGCTACTCCTCCTCCTCCGAGTGTCATTCAAAATGGCAGTAAACCATCTTCGCCGATTAATAACAACACGCTGATGAGCACGCCCCCACCGCCCTCGGCCACCAAGGCCGGCCTCAATAATAACGGCAGTGTCTACAACACTAGCTCCAACGGCAACGGCACAAATGGCATGACCACGCCCATCACGCCGCCCCCAGCGAGCGGCGGCAATCGGGCGGGCAGTCTGAACTTGCCACTGACAGCCGCCGAAATGCGAGCCAAGTTGGCCTCCAAGAAGAAGTACGATCCCAAGAACGAGAGCGTGGACCTCAAGAAAAAGTTCGACATCATTCAGAAGCTCTGAGATGAGACCAATAGGAAAGGATTACCCCAACACCATACTTGTTATAATGTCAGGATGAGGAGCTAGAGCTGGTTTTGTCAGGCATACACCACACAATATACAATATGTTTAGCTATTAGTACGCAGAGTCACTTATTAACTAAGCAAGTTTTAATTTTATTACCCCCTAAGAAAGAGCGACCAACGATGGTAGGCCGAGAAGATGGAGTACACCTACCCTTGGAATATCTATTTACATACGACAAACATGTATTCTTCAAATTCAAATATGGCAAACTCCAATTGGCAATGTTGCCTTGGTTCATTGAACAACTTTCGTTGAATATGTACTTAGTTTTGCTTGTATTTTTGTAAAGTAAATAAAGCAAAAATATAAAGAATTACTACTGCAAGTGTTTTTCAATGGGGCAGCTGATCAAACAAGAGGGGGGTCTGTCTTGGAAGTCGTGAGACTAAGGGCTGTGAAAAAACGAAACCCTAAGTATAAAATTATCGTTTCTTTTTCACATCGCTATAATTTTAATTGTTATTACAAATCACTGTATTAACAAGGTTTCTTTAATGTTGTAGAACAGGTGTTTAAATGATTCAAAAAGAAACTACCTAGTTTCTATAGCAAAACCTATCAAAAGTTTCTTACTTCTAACGGAATTATCACCTAGTTGGCCTTAAAACAGACCTCTGCAGAGATTTTAAAATAATTAAGATTGCAGCTCCTGTCGCTTAAGGTTACAAAGTGCAGCAGCCACTATGATAATTTCATCAAGATATCCCAGTAGCGACTTTTGTTGAATAGCCGAATGACCGAGAATCCGGAACTCCCTAAGGCCATCGATCATATTGCGCATTTGGGCTCTGCAGGCGGGTTCTTGGGCCTTGAACGTTGGCAATTGAACGGCAGGAGCTCGCTTTGAAGTGAGTACTCCGTCTACGACGGTTAGGGATTGCTGGTTGGCCAGCTGCCCGCACATACGTTGGGCCTCAAATTTGCTAAGCGATCGCTTGGGTTCCTCGGCGGCCTGGTAATCATCCTCATCCGCTGACTCGTGGGGATCCTCCATTTCCGATCTGCGAGCACGAGGCACTGCTTTGCCTGGTTCCGCGCATAGTGTCAAATACTTCGGTATGACATCTCGAAATCGGCTGGCCTCGAACAACTGAATATCATCGTAATTGCCAGGGAAGGCATTGGACACATAGCTGATAACGCCTATGAAGCGGGGACAGTCACTTAAAGTTCGTTATTCGAGCCAAAGCTTACCATTCGTATTGATGCAGAATATGAACTTATAGCTGTCGCTGCCCAGTCCTAGGTCCATAGCCACATCCGTTTCCACACATTCGATCAGCGAGCGAACGTGCAGCAGATTGGCCCGGTAGTCCAGTGGTGTGTGCTTGAATCGCTCGTTGTGGTGCCGGGCATCTGGCCAGCAGATCAGAGGTCGGAGGTATCGGGCCAGCTTAATGAGCGTGCGCTTGAACGAGTCCTCAGCATCCGATTCACTCAGTTCGAAGTGCTCGGCCAGCAGAGCAAAAGGTTCGTTCTGCCGGAGTTTTCTTAAGGTTATACAGCAGTCCAGGTGGGTTGCATTGGCACTGCGGCAGATATGTCGTTTCAGCAGTAACAGGTGCTCGGGAGCCACACCCAAATGAAGGAGTGGTGCTTGCTCCACTAGACTTAGTGTCAGACTCCGCATGCTCCTCTGCGGCTGGGGAAGCTCTCTCTTGATGAATACTGCTTGTCGCACGGCGGAGGAAACTCTGGAATCAGCTGCCACAGTTGGTGTGGATTGGATAGAATTCCTGCTACTACTCGATGTAGATGGTGACGAGGTGCCTAAGGCTGAGACCGGTGCCACAGGCGTGGTTTGTGCTGGCCTAGTTGTGGCCTTGATGATTGTGTTGGGCGGCAGTGAGCTGATGGCCATGCCCAGGCTTTGCGAGTCCTTTCTTCCCAGCATCTGCATCTGGCTGCCGGTGGATCCACTTGGACTGGGCTGAATCACATACTTGGGCGTCTTAAGGGCAGGATCTAAAATAATGAAACCATATTAATCAAAGTATAATAAGTCAAAACCATTTGATAGTAATATAATAATAACAATAGTTCATTTTATATTGTTTAATTTTTGTATATTTTTTTATATGGTTTTCTAAGACAATTAATGTTATTACTAATACAAATTTTATACAATTTGTTTTAACACATACAATATTTGTTCGCATTTTGTTACTTACATCCCACTGTGCCAGCTGGTGCTGTTGTTGTTGCTCCCGCGGCCGTAGCTCCAGTTGTCGGCAGGGGTGCTGTTCTCTTCATACTTGGCCTTATAAGAGCTGGTATCTTGTTCAGAACTATGCCCCCCGAAGTGATCCTCACTGTGGCATTTCCCGGCTCCAATTTAGGAAATGGTTTCTGCGGCAATAAAATTAAATTACTTCACTTATTGCGATTTACATTTCTCTGTTGTGCTCGGCACTTTACACATGTTACTAAACAGCTGTTTGCGCATTCATGGGCAATATGGCAACGCCGAATGACAACAAAAAGGTGCAGTTGTTTGTGTATATATTTTTGCAGTCTTTCCGATTTACCTTTAAAGTTTGCTGAGGATCCTCAGTTTTCGGGCGTAGAACCACAGTGGGCGGGGCGGGCACCAATACGCCGTTCGAATTTCGAAATTTAGCAATTGTCAGCGCCATCTAAGCGTATTTTATGCGATTTTTTCACGGAGAGAGAAAGCGGCCACTTTACCGTTGACTAAAATAGTTCTGAGACTGGGCTGCCAGACCAGTGGCAGACTTAACAGAGGCTTGCTAACAGTGGCTGTCTGAGTCGGCGCCAAATTTGAAAGTTCGAGCGCCAAAGCTTACACCATTGTAGTGCAATTAGTGGGTAATTGCACTGTTTGATATTTCGAAATGCAGAGCAATTTGGCTACGCGCTACGTTTACTGCCCCCGAAAATGAGGTCATTGCGCACTTGAAGTGCCGTTGTTTATGTTTTTAACTGTCTTTCGTGGCTATTGCGATTCAATTGCAAATAGAGCCGATAAATGTGCACGGAGAAAAATGGATATATTTTTAATAAAGGAAATATACATTTTACTTCAAATAACTTTCAAATAAATTCTAATTAAGCTCCTCAAAAAAAAAAAACACTCACAGATCAAAACGGGGTTATTATAGGCGAAGTCACTTTTTATGCTCGGATGGATTGGATTGTAATTAAAGCTTATTAAGTCTTTACGGCTTTTCTCCCCGTGTAGCCATCAATTTGTTGGCAATCTATGCATTTGTTTTCCCTCTTCATCTTTTCTGCTATTATGACAGCCCGCCATAATTGCGAAAATGTTGCCAAGTTTTAACAAGTGTTGGCCAGAGCTTCCTGCAATTAATTTGGCAGTCCGATGACGCAACGGATCACTCCTTGCATAATGAACTGGGCGCCAGAATACACACACTGCACTGACTGACAGTAAGTGGTAACTGGTTTTCTTTCATTTTCATTTTTATTTTCCTTTTCCGCCGCCAGCGTTACGTGTCTTTTCCAATGGCCATGGCTCGCTGGTCAATTTTCACTTTCACTTCCCCCTGTTATTGCGCCCGAAAACCCCATTAATTTACGCCTGCTTGTCAGTGTTTCTTTAGCTTATAATTTAAATAGAAATCGTAGGGGTCTAACACAATGATAAAAGTACTAACACATTTGGCTTAAAACTGATGCGGAAACCGTTTTCGTGGCTTTCCGCCAGATCTCGATGGGAGTAGCTAGTTAGTTTGTCCTCTGACTGCTACTCCCCGCTGGCTCTCCCTCTTCTGCTCTGGCTCCTCTTCTTCTTCTCCTCCTTCTGGCCGAAAGAATTGCGCGAATTCTTCAGGCCCTTCATCTTCAATTCCTCCCGCTCGTGTCACCCGTTCAACGTCCAGCTCAACGTTGCTGCGTGGATGCATCTGCATCTGGGGGATACAGATGGACTCGCTGTTAGTGTCTCGCCTGCTGCTCTTCCTAATCCTCGTTCTCCTTGTTCTCCTCCCTGTTCGTCCTTCTCCTTCTTGTGCTCGCTTTCTGTGCGTCTGGCTCTGGGCTTTCCCGGGAATCCCTAGTAGTGTCCATGGCCGTGGCTGTGGCTGTGGTAGTCGTGGTGGTCCTCGTGGTGGTGCTCGTGGTGCTTGAAGATTGGCACCTCGACGTGGTACTTCTCCGGCACGGGGATCTCCTTGTGAATGGGCACCTTCACCTCCGAGTAGACGGGAATGGGCTTCTCGATGGGCACCTTGACCTCATAGGGCACGGGTTTCTCGACGGTGTAAGGAACCTTCTTCTCCACGGTGTAAGGCTGAGGGACGGGCACCTTCACATGGACTGGGTAGGGTTTCTCCACCTGGTATGGAAATGAGGGAAGGTAATGGTTTAATTCGGGGCTTACTCTTTTAAGTTTCTAGTTAAATCTTTCAAAACTTTGCGGAGACTTATGGTAAGCTTTTGGAACTGTTTGTCTCTAGGAACTTCACTCACCTCAACCTTGTAGGGCTTGTCGACGGGAACCTTGACCTCATAGGGCACCTTCTTCTCCACAACGACGGTGTATGGCTTCTCGACCTCGACATCGTAGGGTTTGGGCACTTCCACATCGTATGGCTTCTCCACCTCGTACTTGACCTCGTAGGGCACCTTCTTGATCACCTCGTAGGGCTTGGGAACGGGAACCTCAACCTTAACCTCATGGGGAACCTTCTTGATCACCTCGTAGGGCTGGGGCACTGGGACCTTGACCTCATAGGGGATCTTCTTGATCACTTCGTAGGGCTGGGGCACATGAACCTTCACCTCGTAGGGCTTGTCAACGGGGATCTTAACCTCATAGGGGATCTTCTTGATCACCTCATAGGGCTTGGGCACATGGACGGGTACTTTGACGTACTCCTTGACATGGACAGGCACCTTCTTCTCCACGATGTAGGGCTGGGGCACATCCACTTTCACCTCGTAGGGGATCTGTTTTGGAGTATCATTATTGAAGGGTTAATATTTGTTCGTCCTATGGCACGTTCTTAAGGATTCTTAGTATCATTAAAATTGATTGATCATTTGAGTGATCGTTGATATTTAATTTTTCAGATTTCCTCTGAGATAAAATAGTTTTCTGAAGGATATTTACTATATACCTATTTTTCTAGTTCTTTAAACAACAAAAACAGATTACTCATGGAACTATAATTTGGAGTCTGAGATGAAGCTAAAAATATTAATCTAAAGGACTTTTTACAAGCAAAGAAGTAAACTAACAGACTTTTTATATCAATTTGATTTGGAACAAACTTGTTAAGACTTTCTGAATGCAGATAGTATGGAACTGGACGGCTAAGGACTCACCTTCTTCTCGACGGTGTAGGGCACGTGCTTGGTGACCGTGTAGTGGACCGGAACCTTCTTCTCGATGGTCACCGTCTTGATGTGCTCGTGGTGGTGCTCGTGGTGGGGCTGGTAGTGGTGGTAGTCGCCCAGATGAAGGCCCCTCTTCTCCACGGTCTTGCCGTCGCCCTCGGCCTTTTTATCCTCGACTGCCACGGTGCCACAGTGGGCCAATGCCACGCACACGGCGAGACAAGGAAGTACGAACTGCAATATAGGATACAACAGGCACGATTCACTCTCTGGTTCTGATCACTCTGAGTCTAAGCACTTCGGCTGGATCCTAAGGATCCGCTGCACTTTCAATCTATATCGATGGCTTTACCATTCGCATTGTTGAGCTGCTGATTCGACGTCTCACGGGAACAATTACTCCACAATTCGCTGTGCTGCACGGGTAACGAGATCCAAGCTGGGACTGACTTGCTGAGCCCCTGCACTCAGCTTATATACACCGAAAAATTGGACTGTCTTGTCTTTCTATATCTCGCAACGCAAAGTCGACGGCGCGGCGCATTCGCAACTCTTTTGCTGCCCGTTGTTGTTGTTGGGGATTTTGGCTTAGTAATGAAAAGTCAGTCGGGGGAACGGTGTTATATGAAAACTCGTTTCGATTTCGGTTTCCACCAAATCTCTGGGAAGGGGGATGGATGGTACCGGAGGCACGACTCCTGCACTCGAGATATTACAACAAGGTAACCGGGTCGTTATCCTACAGACAATAGCTAGGAAGTGGAAATCTTTGGTACACAGACCCACAAACGAAAACTGCCGCTTGCTTTGATTTGTGGCTCGGTATATGGGTATATTGGCCTAAGACTACATAGAATTGCAGGCCGAGGCTTCCGATTTTATTGGACCCACACCTGGACATATGATATACGATTCGAGAGGCTGGGATTATGCAAATGCCCGCGGCTATTGACTTCAACACTCGTTGCAAACCCCGCAAGCCGAAACCCAATAGCCAAAACATAATCCCAGTGTGGTAAGGGGCGGAGACAATAAGAAGGTTAAACTAAGCACAATGCGTTTAGATATTCGATATACATATTTTACATATGCGTATTTCGTATCGGCTTATAGAGCTTAATGGGGTCATCTGAAGTGAGTGGGACCACAAAAGATCTGCATATGTACACCGAAAAAAGGCAACTCCCCTTATCTTTAGAGTCTTCCAGCTGAATTAATTCTAGGGTCTTTGAATGTAGCATAGTTTTTCAGATGATCTAAGTATTGAAGTATGTAAGAAGTTTAACTTAACTTAAGAAATACTAATAATAGATAGTGATTAGATTAATTGAGCGCATTTAGACACAGATTAAATATAATAATATACCAACAATGCACTCAGAATAACAAAAGCTTTCTTAAAGCTGGCTCGATACTAATTATGATGATTATGATTCATAAAAACAAAATCGGAGTACTTTCATTTCTTAACATCACTACATCTCAAAAAGAATCGAGAGAACTTTAGTCTTGATATCAAGAACGTTTCTCTGCAAATAAATTGAGATAGAGAGGGTTTGTTGAATCTTTAAAAAAATTGTTCTTGAAGTATATTAATAGTCACCATTAGAGAAGGAGGTATCCTAATGAAAAAATGTCTTTGAGTTTTTGCTGTATAGTCTTATAATTATTATTGGCATTAATTTATGTATTGATTGGAGAAAATTTTTAGGCATGTTTTTCAATTACATAGAACACCATTTCGCATCGTTTCTTCCAGTGCTGCAACACTTTTTTGGCATCATTGGACTAGCATTGGGTCAATGGGTTTTTGGACTTTATGGACGAGGCGAGGAGATACATGATAGGCTGGTCCGAAACGAAACCGAAACCTCTGACACACGGCTGCCACAACTGGCAATTTGGTGGCTCCCTGGCGGATCGTGATTGCCGCCTGTGGGAGCTCACGGCGTGACTGGATACATAGATGTGTCTATATGTCTGCATATATGCATGGTGGATATGCCATCATGTATCTCTTGGATGCATGTGAGCCGTATTCGCGAGTGCGCATTATGTGATGTATGACTGACTAGCTGCCTGGTTGCCTGGAATTTTGTGCAATCAGTGGCAGTCATTAAATTGAAAACATACTTAGCTTCGAGTCGGCTATTTTAAAATCCATCGTGTGGCAATACCAACAATTCGACTAAACACAGCGACTAAAACAAAAGCCTGGTACGATTTTCTTTTTTTGCAAATCCCCAGCTTAAGCCCAAAAAAAGAAAAAAGCGACAGACGCGGAAGACAGGCCATAGCATTTACATGCCCATTCTATTTCATAATCAAATTTAGGCTCCGATTTTTTGGCCGCTAATTGCCCATTGTCCAGTTTTCCCCCATTTTCCACCCCGCAGCTTTTGGCCCACTTTGCTATTGCAATTCTTCGGAGTGATTAACGGCTCTTTCTGTCTGATTAACGCGTTTGCAGAGTCCCTCTCGCTTGCTCGCAGCCACCTCTCTCTTTCCCGCACACTGCATTTGGTCATCGACCTTCACTAGCTTTCGAAGTGGTGTCTTCGCCTCTTCGCTCTTCCCGCCACTCCCAAATCTTCAGAAATCTTCGCATCTTGCAGAGCGCGCATTCGCTTTATCTTCAAAAGAAGGGTAACATGTAACGCCAACCTTGACCTAATCGCCATTCCATTTCCATTCAATCATTGTTTCTCTTGTTATCTCGACAGCTAGGTCGGGGATTTCCTGACCGTTGGAGACTGTGCGTGTGGGGTGTGATTAGATTTTAAATGGCCATAATTGCACAGGCGCGCAAGCCGCCAATGTGAAAGTAAATCTCTCAATTCGATTGTTATGCAACCGCTTCCTTTAACCCATTTACACTTGCGATATAGCTATGATGTATTATAGCTCATAAAAGGCCCCTTCATCGGATATTTAAGCCTCAGTTAAATATAATTAAAGTCGCGATAAAACACTTAACAATGTAGTTAGTGGCGTAAAACAAGTAATAAAAGTAAACCCCCAATTGCTCGAATATCGGTAAATAAACCGGGTCCTTGAAGTAGTCCGCCATTTAACTGGTTGTTTGACTTATATAACCATTTAAAGGCTTAATGGCAATCATGTCAATTTGGACTTTATAGCGGGAAGTGCAAGAAACTTGATTGAAAGCTGAAAACAAAGCAAAGTACCTAAAAATAGATCAAAAAGGGCGTTATCAATTTTCTTTTGACATTAATATTTTCTGGAAATTTGTTGATTTTATTAATGATTTGTATACCAAATTTGTTTTAAAATTTAAATAAAGTGAAAAGTAACAGAAAGAAGGTTGCCAGATCAGCTGGTTTAGATTGCGCTTAAAAGGCGCTGCCAACTTAAGCTTGGTAGAATGGCGTTAATTATTAGTAGCTTTTGTCGAAAACAATGTGGCAGCCCTACTTATCGATAAGCCTAGGGATGGCACTTTATCCGCAAGTCATTTCAGCGTCAAGTCATCCGGCATTTGTTTGCGAATTTTAAAAGGAAATTAAGGAAAAGTAAGCGCTTTCTAGAGTTTTATTTCAAAACAGACTTGTATAGTACCGCACCAAATTACAGCCCAGCATGTTTCTCACCCGATCCGAGTACGACAGAGGCGTGAACACCTTCTCGCCGGAGGGCCGCCTCTTCCAGGTGGAGTATGCCATTGAGGCCATCAAATTGGGCTCCACAGCGATTGGAATCTGCACGCCAGAGGGTGAGTTGAGGGACTGGCCAACTAGTAAACATTGTAAAGGTGTGTAATCCCCTTCCAGGCGTTGTCCTGGCCGTGGAGAAGCGCATCACATCGCCGCTGATGGTCTCCAGCACGGTGGAGAAGATCGTGGAGGTGGACAAGCACATTGGATGCGCCACCTCCGGCCTGATGGCCGATGCCAGGACCCTGATCGAGCGCGCCCGCGTGGAGTGCCAGAACCACTGGTTCGTCTACAACGAGCGCATGTCCATCGAGTCCTGCGCCCAGGCCGTCTCCACCCTGGCCATCCAGTTCGGCGACAGTGGCGACAGCGATGGCGCCTCCGCCATGAGCCGACCCTTCGGTGTGGCCATCCTGTTCGCCGGCATCGAGGCTGGCAAGCCGCAGCTCTGGCACATGGATCCCTCCGGCACCTTTGTGCGCCACGAGGCCAAGGCCATTGGATCGGGCAGCGAGGGCGCCCAGCAGAACCTGCAGGACAACTTCACCAACCAGATGACCCTCAACGAAGCCATCGACCTCTCGCTGAACACCCTGAAGCAGGTCATGGAGGAGAAGCTGAACTCCACCAACGTGGAGGTCATGACCATGACCAAGGAGAAGGAGTTCTACATGTTCACCAAGCAGGAGGTGGAGCAGCACATCGCCAACATTGCGTAAGCGTCTGCGGATTTTAATTGGTTTAACTTCAAATGTAATGTGAATAAATGGATTCTAAATCGATCTGATAGAGGGTAATACTGGTCTTTCCCTGGCGAATGGTTGTGACTTGTTGCTTCTAATAAAACTAAGTTAAAAATGAACTAATATAAAGGTACACTTTGATTACGTACTATATAAAATTATAAATCAGATACATGTTTCAAAATTATAATGCAAAATTATATCCATTTTCATCGTTCCGTTAGAGCTTGGTTTTCCTTGGCTTATTTGCTGGCTTAAATTAAATCTGTAATGACATGGTACATGAGATACCTTTCCAACCAAAAGACATCCTTTTCATTATATACAGTTGACTTTATTCGTATGCATGTATATTTCGTGTAATTGTGTATATGTATATATATTTTTTTATTCGCTACAACATTTGTGGCTCCATTGGCGTCGCTGGAAACCGCTACAATAATATCTCGTTTCGCACAATATATGTATAGTACATGCAATCTAGACACAAACAGTTGAGCAAATCAAACAGCTCGGATTAACTTGGTTAATCTCGTACAAAGGCAAATCATAAAGAACTCACTTCGTTCGATGCACAGACTTCTAAAGTTTTCTTCTCGTTTTGCTATATAATTCATTGTTGTTTGCGTGAGTACATGTGTAAAACATTTTGCCTAGAACCGAAATACAATGCAAATAAGGCAGATTAACATTTACATCTAAGTGGGATTGGGTGTTTCGAATCGAAAGGATTGCAGGTAATGCGTGTGTGTATCATGCGTTTATGTTGCTGGTGAACAGACAGGGAAGACGATCAAAATGAACAAGTTGTATACCTATATCGTACGAGAATATCGCTATATATAATATATATATCTCTATATGCGTGTGTATAAATACATAAGTAAACGGGGGCTAATCCCCGCGAGCATTCACAATAGTTTTCATCACTCATCATCTAGGTCTGATGGTGTTCGCTGCCACTGGGACTGCTGTTGGTGTTGTTGTTGGTGTTATTATTGTTGTTGTTGCCGGTGGTGGCCCCGGCGTTGGT